CAACGATTCTATTTTTCAACGTTGATTTAACATCATGTGCTATCTGGGCAGTTTTTTCTTCGTCTTTCTGTTCGGCTCTCAGGAAAAGGTGCAAATCAGCCTGGAAACCAAAGACTTGGACGTTTTTCCGGTGTCTGGTTTTTATTTTGCTCTGCAGTTTTTCCATCACCAAGTGAGCTAATGAGCTGGTTCAGATTCAGCCTCTACTTCTTGTTTTTACCCATCATTTGGGATTATATAACTCAGATTACACTGAGGTAAACTCAGAGTCTGAAATATGGATAAAGCAAAGTGAACATTAAGAATAAATCGACTAATTACAGATAAATGAACATAAATGGAAAGACCTTTACAGCAATACTAACGAACTGAATACGGTAAGACCTGTTGAGGAATAATAAACAGTAAACTGAAAGTTCAGACGCCTTCGGACTGAAGCAGCTTTACTTTGTGTGTGCCGTCAGAGTGAATGTGGGTCATGGAGCCAGAATCCTCTGAGCTTCATCTGTTTCTACTTCTGTGTTTAAACTACAGAGGTAAAAAAACAGACAAAACCTCCGACTGCTGTTCCCCAGAAACAAATGAGTCATTTTTCAGGAAAAGTTTAAAACATTTTTATCAGTTTTTGTCAAATTTTAAAATTTACCAGACAAATTACTTCCTTGAATCATGATGAAAACCCAGAGGGCCGAGTCATGATGTGACTTAGAGGTATAGAATAAATAAATCATAAAGTTATGTATTCATCTGTACAGTGATGACGCGCCGACGGCCTTGGTGAGGAAACTCACATCTGATTCTCTTCTGTCTGGTCATTAAAATATTCCCAACTTGACCCAAAGTCTCCTGTCAGCTGCTGACATTATAACCTCAGTTTGTCAGAGTGTCAACATGTTGGGATGAACCGTGTCAAAGGTCATGACCCTGTTGTGTCCAGAACCCCCAGTATTCCAGCACCAGCACCTACGTGATCTTCGCTCACCTGCTGCGGCAGATCGCGGCGTTGTCCGAGGCCGACCACCACTTCCTGGTTCACTGGCTCAAGAGGTCAGTCTGTTCATCCTGTTTTAGCCAAACCGTCAAACTGCAGAGTTTATGAAACACAATTCAGTTCTCTGGAGAAAACATCTGAGCTGATGAGTAGAAGATAAATCTGAAGACTTCTTCAGGCTTGATCATCAGCCAGCGTGTTTTTATCTGCGTCTTTTCATGGCTGTTCAGTCGGATGAAACGGCTCCAAGCAGTTTGATGTGTTTCCATAGAAAACTGAAGAGAACAAATTATTTAGGACTAAACTTTTTACCCTGTGGCTCTACTTCACGTTGACCGCATCTAAGAAGTTCATGTAATCTGATTTGAACCAACTCTCAGCTGCAGAGAGCAAATCTGTTTAAAATTTCTGCTTTTTAAAACGTCTCTTTGTTAAATTGTGACCTGGCGCAGACGGCTTCTCGGGTTGACTCAGAACCTGAGCGGACCAGCGATGGCCAGCTTCTGTATTCGTCTCCCTCAGCATGAGTCAGGAGCATTTCAAAACATGTTCTTTGTGGGGTTTGATTTAAGAGCAAGCTGCTTCAAATTAGAGGTTCTGTTTAGTTCTGCTCAGATCCAGAAAGCCACGTTTTTCCAGCCGACGCTGCTTTTCTTCTCCCTCTCTGTGTTTTTACTGTGAAGTCTCTATTTTCGTCCTCTTGTGTGTTCGCCTTTAACTCCTTGGTGACACGGGTCTGGTTTGGGCCGTCAGGCTGTCGGCCAGGCGCTTCCGGCAGCTGGTGGAGCGCCTCCTGCAGTTCATCTCCACGCGCCTGTTTCCTGCAGAGCCAGATGAGCTTCCTCCTTCAGCCAAGTGTTCCTGGTGGATCCCCTCGGCCACCAAAGTGCTCAGCCTGTTCAGTGAGTCTCACGAACGCCACGCCGCCGGTTTGCCCTGCAGATCGCTTCCAACGTTTTACCGTCTTCTTGTCAGATGCAGCCAACAGCGTCTCCTCTCCTCCCATCATGCCCTTCACCGACTTCTACAACATCACTCTGGAGCACATTGACTTCATGGAGGACTACAGGACCTGGCAGAACTACGGCAACTCAAACAGGTCAGATTCAGCCGGTCAAACTGAAGATTTGATCTGTTTTATAACTAAACAGCTACGCTAACTCTGAAGCGCTAATCATAAACACTAGTTCTGCTAATGCTAAAGCGCTACAGCCAACCATATCAATACCCAGAGTGTGTCAGTGACAGTACAGTATATCGCCCCCAACAGGGTCCAGTTAGTCATTACTCACCTACCTGTATGGTTTGAGCTTCAGGAAGCGTCTGCAGAACTACAGCAATGCATTCTGGGTACAGAATAACCGTAATTTGCCTCACTGCATCACGGATGGAGAATGTGAGCAGTAGCTGTTTCAGGATTGTTGTTACGCAAAAATATTCATGAAAAATATGAGAAATGTTTTAACAGGAAATCAGTTCTGCTATTAGCGCGTTAGCAGAAGTGTGTCCGCCTTTCATTATTATTGCAATAAATAAACTAAAATGACTTTTTTAAGTTCAAATTCCCCGTTTCTAATCTGAACTTCTGGGACTTTGTCCTTTGGACAGAGGAAGTAGAAATGTTTGGCTAGAATGGACAGAACCATGATTAGAAAAACCAGACAGAGCAGATCAGCACGAAGACCTCAGACCAGCTGCCAAGCACAGTGGTGGAGGAGTGGTGATATGGGCTGGTTTAGCAGCAACATAACCTGAAAACCTGGAGTTATTGATTGGACTGTGGTCTCCTCAGAGTACCACAATGTGAGTCCATCTGCCTGACAGCCGGGATCCAAACTGGGTCATCAACAAGACAACAATCACAAAATCTACAACAGAACGGCTGAACAAGGAGAGAAACAATGTACAGAAATGGTCCAGTCAAAGTCCAGACGTCAACCTGAAGCTGTGATGGAACCTCCAGAGAGTCGAGCAGAAATGTAGATGAACTGAAGCCACGTCAGAGAGAAGAGTGGACCAGAACGGTTCTGCCAGAGAGGAGCCGTACAAGCTGCCGGGTCACGGGCTGGACTCCAGATGTTTACGACAAAATACTTTCTCTTTTCTGTGACTGCATGTTCTGCAGTTTGTTGGTTAAAATCCTGAGGCCCCTCAGAGAAGCCACACTCCTCACATCGGGACAGGATGAGGTCCAGTTTGCCTCCAGGAACCGCGGCGGGGTCAGCTCCGTCTCAGGGTTCCTGAAAGTCCGATGGAGCGGAGATGAGGAAATGTTCCCACAGCTGCAGTTTGTTCAGAACCGTGGAAAGTCTCACAGAAGCCATGAAGTTTGTTTCACGCTGCGTCGCGTCTCGTTAGAGCCTGACGATGGAAACTGATCCAGAGCCTGCAGTTGAAACGGTTTCAGATGGAAAGAACTCCCTGGCTGGCGTGTCGGGGATCCAGGTCATGAAGGATGGCTTAGCTTGGATCAGACATCAGAGGGCGGCCAGGAATGAAATGTTTCTGTACGGAAAATGATCCACTCATTTTGTTTCTTCTTCTCTCTATCAGGTTTTCTTTCTGTCAGTTCCCCTTCATCCTGTCGACTGTGGTGAAGAAAGCCATCATCCAGAAGGACTCGGAGCAGCAGATGATCAGCCAGGCCAGGGTGAGGATCTGAACCGGCGCTGTGAAGAATCAGAGAGCTGCTGAGGGTCTGGACTCATAAAGACAGTCTGTCTGCTTCACAGCTCAGCCTGGTGAGCAAAGTGTCCCGCAGGCAGAGGGTGGACATGAACCTGCTGTTCCTCAACATTAAAGTTCGACGAGCACAACTCCTGAGCGACTCGCTGGATGAGGTCAGAACAAACTCATGCTGACGTTCTGGGTTGGGACTGTGGGAGAGTTCAGGTGGGTCAGGCCTGGTTTTTTATTGAAGAATAACTCTTCAGTTACACAAATCAACGTCTTGCTCTACGTCGGTCTAAAGGTCAGATCTGGATTCATGACTTCTGGACATTTGGATTCGTCTGCTGTGCTGCTTTCGTCTGTCATGGTGAAGAAATATCTGAACCAAGAACCGTAGCTCTAGATTTTATCACTCTGTCTATGTTCATGACTGCAGGAAGTAGATTCTGGATACTAGAAGCTGAAATGAGCTTCGCCTGTAGAGGATCCTTATGATCCTTCTCTCTATGACGGAGAGAAAAGGATCATCTCCAGTCTGGCTGGTTAATGTTTGGTTTGGTTCTGGCCGAGTCGGGCGTGTCTCTGTTGGCTGTGTGTGCGTGTGTGTATGTGTGTGTGTGCGTGCGTGCGTGCGTGCGTGCGTGCGTGTGTGTGTGTGTGTGTGGGTAGGGACATGGAGGGGTGTGGGAACCATGGCAGGCTGTGAGTGTGCATGTGGTCGACCCACTGATGATGTCACTTTGCTCTGCAGCCTTAGGCAGCCGGTTCTCCAGAACCTCGTATGTTTGTTCTTTGCCCATCCAGTCAGCGCTGCATCCGCTCCTCTGTTTGAAACAGTTTGGTCCTCAGGGTTTGATCTGGCTGGTAGATGGTGCCTGAGTTGTTGTTGGTGACGTAAATCTGTGGACCAGTCAACGAATGTTTCTTGATGCCAGTCAGATCACTTACACACAACACCTGGCTAGTTTCAGGATGATCCATAGAAGGCGGTTCCAGAAAACAGGAGGGAACTGTGGCGGCCCATGGAGACGGGGTCTGACTACGTCTTGACTCGACTCGATTGCCAGAGTCTTCCCTTTGTATCGGTTAGCCTGTTTTTTAGTAGCTACTACAGTGAGGTTCTAATGGAGCCAAGTCGGGTGAAAACGTGACATCGGGACACTGTCTGTCTCTGATTGGCTGAAGGCTGGGGTCAACTCTGTTGATGGCTGTTTACGGATACCAGCAAACACCAAAACAACGTTGTGAGCAGCTTAAAACTGTAAAGTGATGACCATGAAGGGCCTCAACAGCCTGACGGGTTTGAACCTAAACATTGGAAGTGTTTTAACCAAATGGTGCTATTTACAGACACCGATATACGGGCAATGAGCCATGCTATGCTAAAATGGTCCCCACACATTAAGGCACTCAGTTGTAATGGAAGGTCAAAGTGAGCAGGTTCTGGTGGAAGAGGCCGATAAGAAGGATGAGTTAGCTGGAGCTTCAGGATGTGTGAGACCAGCAGAAAAGCCCGTTTTCCTGATGCTCCACTGAGGGGAAAAGGCTAATTAGGGTTGTGGGAACAGTGGATGGGAGAGGTCTGTGAATATAAAGAGCCTGAAGATTAGCAGGAATGTCTGCAGCTCTCCCTCCAGCCGGAGCTGGTCGTAAATCTGAAGTCTTTCCTCCTCGGTGTGAGGTTCGCACCAAACGTCTGTAATCCGTCATGTTTGGCACACATGGTTCTGTTCTTCCCATGCAGCCCTGTGATAAAATATCACACCAAGCAGCATGGAAAACATTAGTTTTAAGCTGCTTTGTTTTGTCTCTGTGCAGTTGATGAGGAAACGGTGCGACCTGAAGAAGAAGCTGCGGGTGACGTTTGTCGGGGAGGCGGGGCTTGACATGGGCGGTCTGACGAAGGAGTGGTTCCTGCTGCTGGTTCGTCAGATCTTCCACACCGACTACGGTGAGGTTCCACACAGACAGAGCATTTCTGAAGGGCAGCTGCAAGCTACAGGTAACCTTTTATCAAAGTCCAAAAACATTTCCTTCCGTCAGTCCAGGAAATGCTGATGATCGGTGGATCTTCCAGAATGATTGAACTTTGTGTCGTAAAGTTATAGAGATCATAAAGAGTCTTTAAGATCAAAACAAACTGAAGCTTTAGTAAGGAAGCTGGAGAAACAGAAGCCACCAAACTGATTAAGTCCAAACCTTAAGACCAGAATGGGTCATCAGAGACGGTTGGGTCCAGAAGATCCAACCGTCTCTGAAGAAAACGCTGGTTTCCAGGGAGCAGCTGGGAATCTGGGAGGTAAATCCTCGCTGATGCAGAGTCAACGGAAAGAGAAGCTGCTCTTTGTTGAAAGCAAGTGGAAAAAAATAACATTTTTATTGGCTAAAAATGGAAAGAACACTTTTATTAGCCGCGGCCTCGGTGGATTTGAGCTGAGAGTTTTTGGGTCAGAGGAATAAGTGTCAGAACGCTGAAGAAAGCCGACAGTGTTGGTTCTGGAAACTTGGACATTGATCTCTAAACTCAGGCTCCTTCAGATCCTACAGATCAGGTTTTCTCCTCTCCTTCTTTGTCCCTGACTTCCTCTTGTCTTTCTACTCTGTCATTCACACCCAGAGATGATTCTGGATCAGAACCCGACCTCAGGACTCGGTTAGAGGCATTAAGCTCTTAAAGGGCCGGCTACATGGAGTGGTGTCACTCAAGACCTGAGAGTTGATTTGGACTTGGAATAAAGGACTAGTGAACATCTGAGCCAGACGAATACATGTCAGTGACTTTTTCTCATTTCTTCTTTCCTGTCTCTTCCTCCTGTGGGTGGCGCTATAGAGCTGAAGGACCAGGACTTTGGACCATGTAGATAATGCGAACAGAGGCTCATTTAAAATCTTTCTTCCTGAGAGAAAAGCTTCATCTGAACTTGAAGGTTTGCTGTAGAGGAACAGACTTCATAAATCTGAGAAGATGATTTAATTCTCTGGATTTCCAGCCAGATGTTTCTTTTCTTGCTTGTGAATCTTTTCAGTTAAACCAAACAAACGTTACTCAGAGCATCTGTGCCTTTCACTCCTTCCAGGTGTTATTTCTCCTTCTCTCTCTCTTTTTCTCTTTCTCTGCTGGTCAAGTTGTTCTTTCCATCATCGCTGCGTCTCTGCGGTCGTCTGTGTTTCTGCTGCCAGAGGGACGTCAGCCCAGAGCAAAGACAGTCAATGAGATCTGTGTTCCCCTCATTAGCCAAGCAGGGCACACGCACACACACACACACACACACACACACACACACACAGCTGCACAGACAGGTGCATGCAAACACACACACCCCTCACACACAGGCTCCTCTGTGCGTGGAGCAGCTTCAGGTTCGGAGATGTGAAGCTCAGTTCCAGATGTTTGCCTCCTCTTGGCTCTGACCGCCGCCGTCCCGACCAGTCAGAGGCGGATTAGTCTGGACGTTAGTCAGCCAATCAGAAACTAATGAATGGATCTGCTGCAACAGGAGGTTTTTCTAATTGTGATGTTTTGTTTCATCTTATTCCGTCTAACGGGAATTGTTTCTGCTCCAGGGATGTTTTCCTTCATGAAGGACTCGCGCTGCCACTGGTTCAGCAGCTGGAAGAGCGACAACTACTCTGAGTTCCAGATGGTCGGGACTGTATCCTTCCATAACACAGAAATCTGGGTTTTTATGTTTGTGTTGTTATTTTGTCTTCTTAATTGACTCCATCCATCCTGGAGGTGGCGCGCTCTGCTGGCCGCAAATAAAATGGCAGCCCAGACTGACGTAATGACTGACGAATGTTCAGAACCGGGACGGATCCGGGACACGTTGGCGTGTGTTTGGAACATCTCCTTCACATCTGAATAATGGAGAACATGCATGTGTGCATGTTGCATTGTGGGGGTGTTGCCTTCGTGTGCGTAGGAAACCAGAGCGATCCGGCTCTGCAGGCGCGGTGAAAGGCCAGCTGGGAGCTGTCAAAAGGTTATATAACCTAATAGCTGCCTGTTCCTGCCCAGCTCTCTGTGAGCAGTTAAATCACTCATGGTCGCACACATAAACCTGTTAACACCTTCAGCGCTCTGGTTTTAGACCCTCAGTGCGTGGAAGGCTGAAACCTGCAGGGTTTTGGTTTGGTTTAGTGTGAAGCAGCAGGGATGAGAGCGACCCGGACCAGACGGGGGTTTGGTTTGAGTCTGGCAGGAGGAAGAGGAGGGGCTGTTTGCTTCTGGGTGTTCCTGCATGTTCCACATGTGTGCTTGTACTAAAGGCTAATTTATCACGCTTTGTTCCTGTTCAGTCATTAGAAAGGCTCTGGAGGGCCGAGCCAGGCGGTGCCGAGACAAGAGGCAGTGTCTCCTGAAACAAACTCTGGAGGAGACAGAAGTGATGTGATGCTGTAGTGTGAGGTGAAACAGATGGATCAAATATGTCGAGGAGAAAGAACAGAAAGTTCAGATGGGCTGCAGATTGTTTCTGAGCACGACAGTTCAAATAAAGAACTGCAAGGCTGAAAAACTGAAAGGAAAATCTATTTAGAAGCTGAAATACGTCCTGACTTCTGTCAGGTTTAACCTGATCTATTCTGGAGAGGAACTGTGAACTTTGCTTGGAAAGTTTAAACCCAACCAGGAGTTTTGGCCTCAAACAGAAAGTTACGCTATGAAGGTCAAAACACCTGTGACAGATTCAAACTGGTTGCCATGGAAATGACCACCTTTTCTGGAGAGCAGCTGGAGCCCACAGCATGACTCTTTCATCATCCACAGAGAGAGAGAAGAATTTAAGCCTCGAATGAAAACTTTTGTGGAAGCTGTCGGTCACCTCCGATGAATGCCTGAAGTCCAGTCAGAACCTTGGACTGGATCCATCTGTCCTCAGTCTGCTGCTTAAAGAGATCCTTCAGTTCCAGTTTTTTCAACAAACATTTAGAGCTAAAATCTTTTTTCATTTATTCAAATATTAATGATTTCTGTTTTTTGTGGCCTGTTGATGTTTCCATCTATCCAGTAACCAGCAGGCCCAGGAGAAGGTGCATGACTGGAACCTCAGTGTGTTTCAGTACCTACAGTCTGTGACCTGATGAAGCTTTTTAACAGGCTCGTCTTGATTTTGGTCCAGTAAAAAAGAACCAGTCTGGTAAAAGGAAGGACGAAGGCATAAAACCAGAGAGGTGATGTGAAACACAGAGAGAGCGCTGACAGGAAGAGGAACAGAAAGAAACAGAGGGAGAGAGAGAGAGACTGCAGATTTATTCATGTTCTGTAACTTCAGAGGAGACGTTGTAGACGACGTTTCACTAAACGTGGTGGAAGATGTATGAGCAGCTAAGCCTTCAGTCGGCCCGTCTGACCCACATCATTCTGACTATAATGACCATAATGGTTGTGGTAAATCTACAGTGTGTGTTTATTTTTCCTTCGCTACCTCTGTGTGTGTGAGTGTGTGTGTCACCTTGTTGCAATCAGCGCCGCTCAGTTCAAACACAACCTGAGCCTACTCACAGAACCTCAGCACACATGGTGACCACATGTGGCAGCTGGGAGCGGTTTGAGTGTGTGTTTTGGGCCGCCGCCCTTCAGACTGAAGCAGGAGAAGAAAAGCTGCAGGTGGACGAATCGTTGGTCTGCAGGCTGCTTCTCACACTGTGGGCTGCAGAAAGAGCCTCCCACAGAGAAACACTGAGGTTCTCCAGTCCGCTTCATGTCTGTCTGCATGAAATGCATGAAGAAGAAGAAGAGCACCATCCATCCGTTCATCATGTCTACCTGTTTATCCTGCAGGGTAGGACAGATGCCTGTCTCCAGATTCTCCATTTGGCTTTAGCCTTCCTAGCACCTTGTTATGATAGAAAATAGTTTCTGAACTCAATAGAAAGTTAAATATTGTTTCTGTTTTTAGTCCAGCAGCTTCTCCTCCTCCTAGCTGTGTATTTTGAGCCGTCTCCTCCAGCAGACCTATTTATCTCATGTTTGCACATGCAGTGTGTTTCCGTCTTTAACGCTGTGTGCTATCAGCTGATGGGCTTAGCGGTTTACAACAGCATTGCTCTGGACATCCACTTCCCTCTCTACTGCTACAGGTAACAACACTTCCCTCTTTTCTCAAGTTCACCTTGTTTACTGCACCGACTGCCAGATTTAATAATGCTCCTGTGTTTTCCTGCAGGAAGCTGCTCACTCCGCCCACTGTGCCATCTGATCCTAATGCTTTTGTTGGCACGGCAACGGCCACCTTGGACGACCTGCAGCAGGTCATGCCTGTAAGGATCAATAAGCTGATAAACTTGTTTATTTGTGACCAAAGTATTCAGTTTAAAATAAATTAATTTGAGTTTTGTTTCTTAATATGTAACATTTAGATCAGAAAAAGTATTTTTTAGTTGGCCACCAGAGGGAGACAGAGTCAGACTTTTGAATCCATCCAGTTTAAATGATCTTCTCTTGGACTCAGTTTTACTTTATGTGTTGCTGATTAAATAAAAGTGCAGATCAGCATTTATTCTTCTGTTTCTCCATATGTCTGTTTGCACTGCATATAAAATGCTGCAGAGCTTAAAAATACTTAGATCTGGTGAAATAACACTGTAAACTAATTCCTTATTGTTTAATTTTTAATTTTGAAACTTGTGTAATTTTTCACAACTTTAGAAAGATCAGAGTTTCTTTATTGAACTTAAAGAAACAGATTATGTATCGTTTTAAGTGTCAAAGTGAAATGGAAAACATTTGAGTTAGAAAATGACCAAACAAACATGCATGTGAAAAACATGACCTGAGTCACTGCTATTTTGGATTTGTTGGCCGTCTGTTATGATAAGATCTGTACTTTGAAATAATGTGTGTTAAAAGAGGAAAAAAGAAAAACTGACTAAACACACACACACACCAGCACAACCCAACACATTCTGTTAGCTTGGTTACCTCAATCAGTTCATATTAGCTTTGTAAACTTGCTTAGTTTTCCACATGTATTTTATTTGTTACCATAATTAACTGTTATCCCAGTTAGCTCTGTTAGCACAGTTAGCTCTGTTAGCACTGTTAGCTCTGTTAGTGCAGTTAGCTCTGTTAGTGCAGTTAGCTCTGTTAGCACTGTTAGCTCTGTTAGTGCAGTTAGCTCTGTTAGCACAGTTATCTCCTTTAGGATGGTTTGTGGCTAAAACCTTTTTCTTTGTTAGAATAATTAATTTTATCGTCACTGTTAACTTGTTTTCCAGTTTGCTCTTTCACCTCATCTGTTAGGATGGCTAACGGTGTTAGCACGTTTAGCTTGGCTAGCATGACTTAAAATGGTTAAGCAAATCAGCCCTTTCATCATAGTTAGCTCTGTTAGGATGGCTAAGCTCATCCTGTTAGCACAGTTAGCTCCGTTACCAACAAACTGAACCCCACTTTGCTAAGCTATCAGGCTGATATAATTTCCAAATCAAAGACGTTCCATGATACAGATTAAAATGTCTGTTCTCTCCTGAGGCCTGTCTTGCTCCTAAAGTAAATTGGCCTTTCAGTTTGACCTGTTGCAGCGTTAGCATGTAAGGCATACCTGCGTAGATAACTCAAGGTCCATTTTAGGAACCTCCTAAATCCTTTTTGTTCCCTCTGACTGCATCGTGAAATGCTTCTCTGATATTATAAATAGCTAACGCTGAGTCTTGTTCACAGCTAGCTTATAGCCAGAGTGAGCTGACTGTTTCGCTGCGGTCCCATTAGCAGCTCTCCAAGTTGGCGTCAGTCAGGCAGGAAAGCGTCTGGTTTTGGTCATCAGCCAATTATTTAGTGCATCTGACTGCGAACTGGCCGGTCGCCTGACCTCAATCTGGCTGAGAGCGTTTAAAAAGTAGAATCATGCATCAATTCAAAGATATTTGACCAACACCATCAGCTGTTTGAAAGGGAGATAGCCATTCTGAATCAACCTTTCATGTTGAATTTTTGACACTTTGTGCTGACATTTATTGGACCCAGGCCTGAACATTTAAATATTTCTGGTCCTTAATGAGCGGACTACAAGCAGCTGCTTCCCATGTTCTGCAGCAGAGACTGGGAGTGCTGATGGACCGAACAGAACACAATGCGACTGACGTAAGAATTCAGTGAGAGAAAGATGATGAAGTGACTCCGAACAGTCACTCAGTTACCTGATCCACAGGCTGCAACGCATCCAAAACCTTCCTGACTGCGAAGGTCAAAACTCTGCCAGTCACCACACACACGCACACACACACCCACACACACACACATGCACACACACGCACACACACACACACACACGCACGCACACGCACACACACACACGCACACACACGTGCACGCACGCACACACACACACACACACACACACCCACACACACACACCCACACACACACACACTGTGGAGGTAGTTGTATAACTGGAGGATTTCAGTTTTAAGCTTTCAGTACCAACAGTTTCCGGTTCTCTACAGAAAACTAACCCAGACGTCCTTCAGCAAAATGAGATTTAGTTATTTTTTTCTCAGAAAGTCTCACTTTTGTAAAATAAAGAGTTAGAAAACAGATTGTTACATTATTTGCTGTCTTGCTTTAGGGCGCTCTGCCTCTGTGACATCAGCTCAGCCTGGAGCTGAGGAAACCCTGCAGTATCTCAGACTGAATGTTGTTGTTTACATACCTGAAAAGTAAAAGTGGGGATGTGTGGCTTCCCCACTAATGCATGAAAAAGTGTGAAACTTGTGAAATGAGGAGTTTCCATCCGTGTGTCTGCAGGATCTGGCTCACGGCTTGGCAGAGCTGCTGAGCTACGAGGGAAACGTGGAGGAGGATTTCTACCTCACCTTCCAGGTGAGCAGCCACTAAGCTTCTAATGTCGAGCTGGAAAAAACATCAAACATGACAAAGACTTAAACTGAATCAGATCTGTTTTTAACTTCAGTAAAAATGGAAAAGATTACTAAATATGACTCAACTTCTCAGTTCTTGCAAATATTAAACTGACTTTTTAAAGTTGATACCAGAAACTCATGTCACAAGAATGAATAACAAAGAATCAGTGGAAGGTCATGTTATTCATACAGCTGGCAGGTTTAGATTCAAAGTAATCTTTTAATTCGACCAGCATGTTTCTCCTGACTTGATGTGATAAAATTGTTTTACCAGACTGAGTCCAGACTTTAATCTGCTGGAGGATCTCTGCAGGACGGTCAAATTTAAACAGAGCTCTGGTTCGGTTTGAATGCATATGTGAACGACAAGCAGACTGGAGACCGCTCCAAAAAGCAGGAAGTGGACTACCATGCAGGGCATTCTGGGTAAATGCAACCAAAACAAATGTGTTAGCCTAGCGCCAGCAGGAGAAAAGACTGGTGGTCTTTTATCAAAGACTAAAGAGAAATCCTCCAAACGCTGAAATCTGACGCCGCCATCTTGTTTCCATCTGGTGAAGAAGGAAGTTGCTCTCAGTGTCTTCAGAGGTTTTTGTGTCGTTTCCTTCAGTGGTTGTTGGTTCCTGGTTCCAGTTGGACCGAGTCTAACGGACTATCAGGAGGAGAAACAGCCTTACTGATGTGAAGCATTTTATAAACTTCACAGTATCTCATCCAGAGAAATTAATATTTCCTCTACATGATGACGTCATTTAGTTTGACGAAGGTTTAGATTTTGGTTCTACCGGGTCTGAACTGGGACAGTATGATCCCTGTTCCTCCTGATCTGCAGTGCCTCCCCCCTCCCCCCCTCAGGTTCAACCACATCCATCCCTACCTGTGCAGGTAAAATCACTGAAATACACCTGACCTCAGCCAGGTTTCTGTTTGGTTTCCCGCCGCACAGTTTCAGGTCTGCGTCTGAGTCCCACCGGGTCGCAGCCGCACTGCAGAGCTCCGCTAAGTCACGACAGCACGCATTAAGAACAAGACCTGCTACTGAGCAGCATCCCCACATATAATGGAGTCACTGATGCTGCAGAGGGATAAATATGGAGCACATGTGGGAAGACAGAATATGTAAAGCGCTGAGGTGTTATTTTAGCCCCCAGTGTGACGGTCGGCTGCTAACAGTCGCACCACTGTGGCACCGTCTCCACCCACCTGCAGAACTCAGTCTGACGTGGGTCTGCCTCCTCCATTTATGTCAGCGTTTAAACTCATTTCACTTCTTCTTACACTTAATAACCTGAGCTAACCTTTTAAATCCAGATCCCTCAGCAGAAACACAATCCTGATCCACAGAACGCAAATAAAGTTCATTCATTTTCCAGTTCAGTGACATAAATGTGGAACCGTGGAAACGTTTCAAATCTGAAACCTTTTGTAATCCAAGTTTTAACAGAGCTGAACTCAGATCAGAATAAAACGTCAGCCAAAGTTTATTTCTGTTACTTATCTGAACACCAAACCAAGAGACGGAAAATGAAGAATAAAAACTCAGGAGATGGTCCGATGTGCCTCAGAGCTTTTCAGATGCTTAAGTAAACATAATGAAAATTGGTATATGTTCATAAATGGAATGCCATCATAAATGAAATCGATTAAATCGATATGGATCCAGTTATTTGGTCAAACTGAGCTGTTTTTATTGTTGCAGGTGTTCCAAGAGGAGATGGGCGTAGTCAAATCCTACAACCTGAAACCGGCAGGAGACAAAATCCCTGTCACCAAGCAGAACAGGAAGGGTGAGTCCGAGCAGAACCAGAACAGTTCAGCTGTAAATAACACCAGAGAACGACACAAACCACCGGTTCACCTCTGGATCCAACACAGTATTTAACCTTAATAAACTAATTCCACTGAAAGTAAATTTATTTATGGATTCTAATTGTATTAAATCAACAATTTTAGGTTAGTCTATGGATGCAGCTTCCAGAATCTTCTACTTTGTTTGAGTTTATAATCTATTTATTCACCGTTTCACTAAGTAATGGGTCAGAAATGTATATGTGTTCAAACTTCTAAATATGAGTTTTATCCTTTAATAGCCATTGGTTGGTGAAGTTAAAGTAGTTTACCAACTTACCACATGAGCTAAAATAAACTACTATTATTAACATCTTAATCTAAACCCTCAAAACTTAATGGAAATTAAAGAAAGCAAACTAACTATCCCCACCTAGCACAGTTAGCATTAGCATCTCATGAGGTCTGGTGACTGTTTCAGTGTTTGGGACGTTCAGGAATGTTGAAATGTTCGACGCTTTTCGTTTTCAGGTGAAAAAGCAGTTTTGTGCGTCTCTGTCCTCAGTTTTATTTGTGGTATTCTGTAAATATTCATTCCTGAGAATCAGGGAAGGAAATGCAGAATGCATGTGTGTGAATGAGAGTGAAGCAGTAAGAACTGAGGGGAAAGGAGGCGGAGTCAGTCATCCAAAACAACAAGCACATGAGGGGTGAAGAAGAGAGGCACAATGTGCTGCTGCAGCTTATCGCCATGGCGACAACAAGGGTGGCAAACTGCCTACAGAGGATTAAGATGAAAACACACTCAGGAGTCACTTCAGTTCCTCTGTCAGGAAGGAAGGGAAGCCCTGGGTCACTGGACCGCAGCCAGAAACTTCAGACCCTAAACTCTGGCGCAGCGGACGAACCCTGACGCTGTGGTTTGGTGTTAATAAGATGTTTTTGGAGTCGTGTGCTTTCAAAGTTATTTTGCCTTTCAGTAGTGGCATAAACTTAAACCTAAGATCTTAAAATGAGACATTTAAAGCACATAAGTTAATAGTTTATCCAACGAGGAGCAGGAAGTGGTAATTATTTAGAGACCTATCAAACCAGCACCCTACAAAGTGATTTAAAACTACAGCGTGGCGAAGCCAGTCGGTCTGTAATTCACTGAGATGGAGATGAGCTCTAGTGACACAAACTGTAAATCGGAGCACCAAGGTTCTGGCAGATTCTTAGACTTTACAGCTTCTGGTCTGGTTCTGACCGGTTCTGTTACTCCAGATAATAAGCTCTTCCATTCCTCCAGTCACCTGAGTGATCAGGACACTTTATGTTAGAGACGTACAGGGAAGGAAAGCCCACCTTTCCCCATATGACACAGTAATGAGGCTGATAGAATAACCTTCTGTTGACATGCAGTCAGTCTGCTCTGAAATGAATCTTTAGGTTTTGATGATTTTAAAACCTTCCAGGTCTGCAGCTTCAAACCAGACGCTGTGTTAAATATTGCTGAGACATTTTTTTATTTTACACATAGTAATAAAGTTTAAACTGAGTTAGAAATATGAGTTACATCTTCGTGTTTTACGTCCAGCTCTCCTTTCCTTCTCCCTGGCAGAAACACAGACCTGCTGCTGTCAAAGCCTCTATTGTTCAGAACCATGAACTCATTTTCCACCCAGCGGCTCTTGTTGGTGCTTCTGCCAGCGTCGCCCAGAGAAGCAGCGGCTGCAGGGTTGATGGTGGAACCTGGTAATGGAATAATGGAAATCCCTCCGCTCTCTTTCCACAGAGTACGTCCAGCTCTACATCGACTTCCTGCTGAACAAATCCATATACAAACAGTTTGCTGCCTTCTACCACGGCTTCCACAGCGTGTGTGCCTCCGACGCCCTGATGGTGAGTTCAGAGGGTGTGTGTGTGTGTGTGTGTGAATACATACACTGAAGGCCAATGAAACAGATGGTTGCAAAAATCTTTTCTGTCACTTTCTAATTCTACTTAAGGTTGTTCAGGTTACATATTGATTATCAGACAATTATTATCAAAATTAATTCCAACAGTCTTTATGCTAATGAGGCCTGAATATCCTTTTCTGTAACTAATCTGCTGAATCATCATTTCCTGAATTACAAAAAATGTTCTAAAAATTTTCTCGCCATGTTTTCTGACATTTAGCAAATAGAAATAATTAGAAATGATTTAGGTAATTCTTGAAAACAAGAAGAGTTTAACTTCACTCAGTGTTGTGTCTTTTTATTCAGTGCATGTAAGTAGCAGCAGTGACGTGGAAGCGGGTTGGTCATGTGACAGTGACGCAGCAGAGGATTGTGGGATGTTGATCTGAGTCACAGTAGTAATTAGCAGCTTTCTGATGGTTTTCTAAATTATCTTATCTGATGTAAAGATGTTTTCTGATTATCAGACCTTAAATACAGCAACATGAACAGGAAGCGAATCAAACGTCTAATTTTATGACCTCAGTCACATCCTGGTGACGTTTATCTGCTTCTCATCGTTTCACCGTTAAACCGATGAACTATCTTCTTCCTGTCAGCGCCGATCACTTCCTGTGCAGCAACACAGGAATAAATTATTCTATTGATTAACTGAACTGCTGATTATTTCAGTTTGCTGTCTGACTGTTTATAGTTCAGAGTTAAAGGTCACCAGCATCACCAGTGGGTCATATTTCTGCTGCTCTAATTGTTTTAGGGGCATAAAAATAATTTAGCGCAGTAGCTGAAGCTGAAAGGAGTTGGTGATGTTTGGCTGTAATATTTAATATTTTTATTCAACTTTACGTAGGAGTCATTCTGCCGTAAAGCTCTCAGGTATCAGCCAAATGAAAACCAGGATCTGACTCCAGTTTTCCAAATAAACCGAATCCAAGAGCAGCAAAGTTATAAAATATGCACTTCCTCTGGCGGCCATAGGGGGGCGCTGAGGAACCAGACCTGCTTCCCATGACCTTGGCTGCAGCGGACAAGGACAAACTTGAACAGACACGTCAAGGCGGAAATCTGACACTCAAGAACCATAGAATCTCATATCTGATGTAAAATAATAAAAATTAGTTTTATCCAAAGTTCTGCCGTAATCTGACCCAGATTCTGCCGGTTCCGGCTCAGTTTCTCTCCTCCATGCAGGTGGTCACGTCCTGCGGCTGCAGGATGTGATGAGGCAGGTCGGTGGGCGTGTCGGAGTTTTCAGCCTTACTCATTGACTCATCATCACCACCATCTTCCTCTTCCTGATTCTCTGTAATCTGGTGGTTCTGATCCACATCTGACCCATTTTCTCTCGTCATTCTGCCTTTATGACGACAAGTTTCAGTTTGACGACTCGGTTGTTTTCACTCCCTTCCTGTTGAGCGACTCTGTAATGATGCGTCCTTCCTGTTCCTCCTCCTTGCTGCTGTTGCTACAGCTGAACTGAGTTTGGTGTTTCTGGAAATTTTAGCACCGCGGCGAACGTTTCAGCTTGTTGTCACTGAGGAGTCGCAAGTTCAAATCCTGTCGATGAAGCAATTCTTACAAATCAGAAAAGGCCATTTGTTGAAATAACAACACACTCATAATTTTAAAAGGAATTAATTTGTTTATTTGTATCTTTTTGTGTATTTGTAATATTGAATAAAAAGGTTAAAAATGTGAGATATTTTAAATCAGATTTGATGGATTAAATTTCAGATCAATAAATTAATCCTTCGTTTCAGCCTAAAACCTGCAGCTTCGTCTCTACAGGAAGTTTAAACATCGTCGCTGTTTTTGTCTCCAGTAGAGGAGAACATGTCTTCATGTCTTCATGTTTTCATGTTTTCATGTCTTCATGTCTTCATGTTTTCATGTTTTCATGTTTTCATGTCTTCATGTTTTCATGTCTTCATGTTTTCATGTCATCTCTTCCTGTCTTCATGTTTTCATGATGTTTTCATGCCTTCATGTCTTCATGTCTTCATGTTTTCATGATGTTTTCATGTCTTCATGTCTTCGTGCCTTCATGTTTTCATGTCTTCATGTCTTCGTGCCTTCATGTCTTCATGCCTTCATGTCTTCATGTCTTCATGTCTTCATGTCTTCATGCCTTCATGTCTTCATGTCTTCATGTTTTCATGATGTTTTCGTGTCTTCATGCCTTCATGTCTTCATGTCTTCATGTTTTCATG